TTGATAGTTTATAGATCTATTTGCTTTATACGTTAAAGGGCAAAACTATTTTAGATCTTGCTCACATTTCCTTCTCAATTTTTGATTATATCTTGGGGTTTAAGTCAAAAGTAATGGAAGTCAATAGAGACGAAGCAATCCGATGTTTAGATATTGCACACAGCCGTTTAGCTTCAGGAAATATAACGGGAGCAATTAAGTTTGCTCAAAAATCCATCAATTTATTTCCAACACCCGAGGCTCAAGCTTTTCTTAAAAGAGTTGAATCACGTAAATCAACACAAACACCAAATGAAAGTAACAATCATAGAAGCGCCTCACCTCCACCACCTCCTTCGCCTTCAAGTTCTTCTAGGGAACATAAACAAGGAAGGCAAACTAGGGAATATACTACCGAGCAAGCTGAAGCTGTTAAGCGAATAAGAGCTTGTGGTGTACACGACTTTTATGCTATACTTGGAATAAGCAAAGAAGTTAGCGATTCAGAAGTTAAGAAGGCTTATCGAAAGGTTATTGTTGGATATATTTAAATTTTAAATATATTGTCAAATAAAATTGGAATTAATTAGTGAAATATAGAGTCTATTATAAATACTTAACTACGAACAATTGCTAAAATGGCCTTTATTATTTTACCTTCGAAAAAAGTAGCTGGCTTTACAGATGCACCCGGACAAGAATGGTGCTCCGGGAGCAGATGAAGCTTTTAAGAGTCGGTTTTCTAATTGAATCTTGTTTTTTTTTAAAAAAAATAATTATCTATACGGAATTTATTTATTTTTTATTCTAATTCATCTAATCATTTTTTATTTTAACCCCCAATTTTTAATTAGTGGTTAGCAAAGCTTTCCAGGTTTTAAGTGATCCACAAAAACGCGCAGCTTTTGATGAAAATGGGGTTGATCCAGATTCACGTAATAGTGGTGGAATGCCACCAGGTTTCGGAGGTGCACGATTTAATAATGGATTTTCAAATGGGGCAGTCTTTGCTGATGAAATTTCACCCGAAGAACTTTTCAATATGTTTTTCAATGCGGATGGTAGGTAGTTGATAACATATGCACATGATTATATATTTATATATATATTTATATATCATTTTTGGGGAATAAGGATACTAAAGTAAATATTTTTCCTCAAATTATTTAGGATTTCATTCGGCAACATTTGTTGGGCCAGGATTTAGAGCACGTCGGTTTCAACCAAGAAGAGCATCACCTAACGGAGATGGTGCACAAGAACAACAATCATCAGCAATTCTTACATTTCTTCAACTCTTACCACTTATTTTACTTTTCTTCTTTTCATTATCATCAAACTGGTTAACACAAACTCCAGAACCTATGCCAGCATATTCACTTCACCAAACAGATTATCATACACAATCCAGATATACACATTCATTAAATGTTCCATATTATGTAGACCCAAAATCATTTTCATCATTTGAACAAAATCCAAGAAGATTACACAAATTTGAAGATAACGTTGAAGTTACATTTGTTAAATTATTAACGTCACATTGTAATAATGAAGCAATCTTTAAACAACGTAGAATAAATGAGGCAAGAGGTTGGGTATTTCAAGATGAAGAAAAACTAAAAGAAGCTCAACATATGAAATTACCTAATTGCGAAAAATTAATGGACCTTAGTAAAACTAAAAGATATAATGAAGTACGGAGAATGATGAGATCTTGAAATAAGAAAATATATTATACTAATCTTAATAATGTGGTTTAAATAATATATATTCTTTGCTTTTTTTTTTATTTAAACAAAATATTATGTAAAAAAAAAATTAAAAGTTTACTTCTCTTAATTGAATTAATATTATTTGAAACATTGCTTTCCTGCAATATGTATAGTTATTTGTTTTGTTTGAAGTATGGTTTATTATTTAATATATAGATAAACAAAACTTTAGACTTTGTTTGCTTATAATATTTCTAAATTTTTTCTTACAATTTATTTTTATTTCTTTTTTCTTTAAAAAAAAAAAAGGTTTTTGTTATAAATTAATTTATATAAAAATTAATTATTTGTTTAATAAAAATATATATATATATATATTAGCAATAATCAAATGTAATATTTTGTCAATTTTAGTGAATTCTAGTAAATTTATATATCACTTCATTTATTGATTTAACGAGCAAGTTCGACCGACCATATTTTACACCCATTATAAAATACAAGAAAACATTAAAATTGTTATAAATAATGGTAATTATCACCAGTTTACGCTTTACAACAAATAATAATAAAAACAAAGATAAAAACAAACTTATACAACTAATCCACGTTTTTGTACGTTACTAGTATTATCTTTTGATATTCCTAATTGTAATTCCTTATTAATTTCTTCAATTCTAGCTTTATCAGATTCTACATCTTTTAACTTAGATTCTAATGCTGCAACTTCATTATCTAAAGACATACGCTCTTCTTTTGTACCAATTGTCTCAAATTTCCATGAACCTTCATCTCCACTAAGAAGTAAAAGATGTGTATGGTATTTGAATAAAGATGGTCGATGAGATATGGTAACAAGAGCTGTAAAGATAATATAAATTATTCATTAATATTTATTAATAGAGGCATACATTTTTAAAACTAATAATACTTACTGATACCAACGTCCTTTGCATGTTGATACATTAATCCTTCAACATCAGAACTAACAGCACTTGTACCTATATTACGAAAATATATAACACCATTTTATAATTTAACATAACATTACAACCATGCAAAAAATACAATAATTTTAACTTACATTCATCAAGGATCGCAAATTGAGGATTATGGTAGAAAAGTCTTGCCATACCAACCTAATAAAAAAAATTTTTTTTTTTAAAAATTATCACCGAGAAAAATTGTTCCCATTATTTTAATACTTACCCTTTGCTTTTCACCGCCAGAAAAAACATCTTTCCATTCTTTCTTGGTCTCCCATCCACCTTCACGTTCTGGAATATAAGCCAAATGAACGGTATGTAATATACCCATTAATTCCTCATCTGTTCGATTGGCACGAATCATGTCCATATAAGAATGTGGATAAATTATTCTTTTTTTTAAAAAAAAAAAAAGTTACAAAAAAAAAAAAAAAAAAGATAAATTATATAATTATCAATTAAGAAATGTTCATACTGATCACGAAGAGTGCCTATGCTGAGATATGGACGTTGAGGAATATAGAAAATATCTCCAACATTTGGACGTGAAAGTACACCACCTATATTTTGAATGATATCACGAGAATAATTATTGGAAAGGCTGGATATAGGATTAGAACATGAAATACGAAACAACATGAACTTACGGAAAACAGGCCATAGTTTAGAAATAACTCTTGCAATGCTCGTCTTTCCAACTCCATTAGGTCCAGTGACCAACAAATGCTCACCAGGATTTATTACTATATTCAATCCTTTTATTAATTCATCTCCGCCCCTCGAGTTTCCTGGATTTGGTGTGACAATGGGAACTCCTTCGAATTTGATACCATTGTAGCCATATACAACTTCTCCGCGAATATCATCAAGTGAATAGAATTCTTGATCTTCAGGGAATGATGCTGGGCGAGGTGTAGCAACATACTCGCTAGCATACAAAGAATGAAGGACTGAAAGCAAATTGTAGACTCTGGAAGTATAACCTGCAAGTTCTGCAAGTTCTTTATATGAATACATCATACGACCACCAGCATCGGCAAGTGTTATCATAAGTCTAACAAGTAATAAAGAATATATCAATATCAAATCACAGATAAATAAAATACTTCTTAATAATTACCTCTTATTTGTAATGAAGCCTTTAGTACGATCTCTTTCTTTACCATGATTTTTAGAGCCACCTTGTATTTCAATTTTCCCCCCCCTGTCCGCCATAAGCGGGAAAGAATACTGGTACAGAACACACTAAAAGTCCAATAGCGCTCCAACAATATTTAATTACAAAATCTTCAAACATGTTGTATGCAATTCGTATTTTGAAAATGGAATTTATATGTTTTACTAATCGAATATATGTGCGTTCTAAAATGGAATGCTCTAATTCAGCTCCATGATAAAAAGCAATTTCTTCGGCATTTGTGATTAAACGAGTGTGTGCTGCACGAAAATCTCCCTCCAATTTCGCTTCAATGGCTGCTAACTTTCCAAAAGCTGGCGTAACTTTTCTTAGAATCCAGGCTGTTACTAAATAATTTCCAAATAAACCCAACATTCCAAGTAAACCAATACTCTTTGTTAATTGATAATTAAAGATAACTGTATCCAATACTGGTTTACCCAGATTTGAATACAATGAAGCAAGTCCATCACAAAATCGCGCAATATCGGTTGTAATAAACCTAATAATAATAAAAAAATGAGCATTTTTAATTTTATTTATACAATCACTTTCACTTTGTACATTGAGAAAAAAAATAATATACTTAACTGGTCTGCTCCTTCAATCCTATTATCTAAGTTAATAGCTTTGTAATAAGCATTTTGATCATTCAAATAAAGATCATTTGCATATCTTGTCAATCGCGTTCGAAAAGCGATAGACAATTTTGATTGGAAAAATCGGATCTTTACATACACAAATTGATGATCAATATGTGTAAATATTAGATTAAACAAATTTTGAAACAAAGCATTAAAAATGAAATTTACCATGCTGTTGGTGTATGTGGCAGGGATAGCGATGAGAAACCAATATGCGATTCCCTTAAGGAATTCTTTACCGTTTGCTGCGACCTACAATAAATGAATCTATTTTGAATCATGGTGAATTTTGCAATTTCTTTTGATATCAAATTGGTTAAACAAACATACCAAATCTCTAACAATTCGCCCATCCAGTCTTGCTACTACTATACTTAACCATGACCTTAAAACCAAAAATATGGAATGTAATAACAAGATAATAACTTCCTTTGAACGAACTTTTGGGAGTATTATTTTAAAAATGGCAGATAGTTGTCCAAAAAATATCTTGTTTACACCAACCCTTTGATTACCATTATCAGAAGGAGTAAAAAGTTTTTTATGTTTTTTAAAAGTTTCAGGTGGAGTCGGACGAATAGTAACTTTTGCGGTACGATTCTTATAAGGAACAGTCAAAGTATATTTATGATTTCCAGGAACGGGACCATCATATAAATCAGCTTTGCTACTAGTAGCTCGTGCAAAAGAAGGTCTGGCTTGAGCTGTCTCAGCCTGTTTCTTATAAAAATAATTCGTGATGTATGCAGCGATTGATACAGCAGCTATCGAAACTGCTACTTTTGTTTTATTATTAATTCGTGAGTTGCCATTATTAGAATTTGAATTAAGAACTGCCTGTATGGCCGAAGGTAACTCATTAATTGGCTTTGAAAAAGCTACCATATCCGACCAAATAGAATAAGACAGAAAGAAATCTTTGTTCTTATTAGTTAAATAAAAACGTTTTTAAGATATCAGTAAAGATAATCGTAATCGTACTCGTACTCGTGGTTTTATTAATTTCATCTGATAAAATTATTTATAATATAATATAAATCTTATATAAAAAAAAAAACCATTTTTTTACTTATCATGAATTTATAATCTTAAAATCCAAAAGTCCACGATCTAATTTTCTATAAACAGCTTTTCCTTTAGACGTTCATTTACGTAAAATGTCACGTGAATGGTGTTTTAGTGTTTACTTTTTTTGGATAATTTTTGAATATCCACCTAACGCGCGAAGGTTCACGTCTAAAAAGAAATAAAAATAAAATGTCGAGTGTGCAAAATCCTGACGCGAAACACGTGAGATTTATCGAGTTAAGCGACAAATTTTTTTTTTTGTAAACCTATGTTTTGATATTCGAAGAAAGGACTTTTAATGACATCATAATTGTTAATGAACCTAGCGATGATAATGCAGTTGCGGAGTCAGTATTAACTAATAACGAAAATTTGCACAAAGAATCCGAAAAGTGTCCTCTTCCTACACTTTCAGTTTCTACTATGACTTCTACTAATAATGAACAAAAGCATAAGAAAAAAAGTAATGTAAATTCAGTTTAATCATATTGTTCTTCAAATACATTACTGACCGACATGAAAAAATTATTTTCAATAGCTCGTGAAGTTCCGTCGCGTTATATGCAATCTATTTCGGGCAATTCTAATGCCTCATCAAATAAAAATCAAGATATTAAAAAAAATGCTATATCCAAACCAGCCATCGAAGGTAGCAGACCCAGCGTCAAACCAATCAAAACTGTACAGAAACAATTGGGTATATCTCGAACGATCGCTCAGAAACGTAAATCCCAAAAAATTGTTACAAGTTTGAATAAAAATCAAGGTATAGAAATATGTTCTGTATTACTTTAAATCATTAATTATATTAATTCAACTTTCTAATATAGAAACAATAAACCAGGTGAGATTAAGTAAATAAATTCTTATACATTATATTAAATATTAAATTCAAGTCTATCCGATTTTTCCGAGAAAAGGATCAAAATAAGGCTACCTTACAAGATTGTCAATCTCCAACTGAGGTGAGAACTATATTTTCTTAATACATTCAGCACATAATATGTTATTCACAATTCATTTTTTTATTTTAAGAATCGTAATTTAGATGATGAATTGATAATGTTAAATGCACGACTGACGCAATGGTGTTTATTAAACGCTAAAGCGGAACATGCTTTTGATTATCAAAAAAGAACTGCAGAGGTAGAATTTCTTTTATCATATTGTCAACTATTCTCTAAAATACTAAAATAATTTATTTAGATTCAATTATTGGATGCATGGGAATTGCTTGTAAAGAAACAAGAAGAATTGTCAAAGGCCAGTCACAAATTTACATTGGAGAAAGAAATTATCTTCCTAA